TCATTGCCTTTGTTGTGGTTGAAGGTGAAACTAGCGATGTATGGTTCTTTTTTTTTGAAAAACTTGAGGAGGTACGTAACCCCGCAAGAGGGGTTGTGCCTCATTTCGGATCGTCACGAGGCCTAAGAAGTGCATACTCCAGAAATGGAAGTGGTTGGACAGAAAACAATGTTGTCCATGTCTATTGCATTAGACACATTGCACAAAACTTCATGCGACGATTCAAAAATGCTGCACTAAAGAAAGATGTCGTCAATATGAGTAATTTTAATTTTTTACATACTTTATATTATCATTAATATTTTATATAATTGCTTAGCTAATTATATTAATTTTATTTGTAATCTTGTTTCCAGCATATGGGATGACTAAACCGAGATTCTTTTACTATTACAACATAGTAAAAGATAATAATCATGAAGCTGCACAATGGTTGGACAACATCCCAAGGGAAAAATGGACACTGGCATGGGACAATGGACGACGCTGGGGACACATGACAACAAACCTAGCAGAGTCAATTAATTCAGTCTTGAAGAAAACCAGAAACCTGCCAATTTGCTCCATGGTTATGGCAACATACACCCGTTGCAATAAGTTCTTCATTGACAGAGGCAGGGAAGTAGATGCAATAATTAATGCTGGACATATGTACTCGGAGGTTGCAACTAAAGCAATAAGAAAAGAGAAATAAACCTATTGAACTTTGCTAATATACCAATAAAAAAGAAGGAAAACGAAGAGGAAGATAAAAAGAAAAAAAGTACCGAGCGGGCATAACTTCTACTTCTATTGCCCGAAGTTAAAAGCAAGTCAAGTATGAAATGCCAGTAGGATAGGTTTTGGAAGCTAGAGCAGGGCTATCTAGTATATTATAGTATATTTGGTAGGTAAGTTTCTGCGGGGAAATAGTTAACAAGGAAAGCAATTACAGCATCTGAAAAGCTAGGCCAGTAAGTTAGAAAGCCTGGGAAAAAATTCTTGAGGGGAAGGAATGAGTAAGGAAAGATGCTTTGTTGTTTGTAGCTCAGGGCGCAGGGGCAGGGAGTACTCTTTGTAGCTATAAATACTTGATAGAACAAGCACTAGATTTTTAGTCGAAGAAATGCAACATCCGACATAAATTTGACCCGTAAGAAGATTTACAGTACGGTTATATGAAATGTGGTGTGATTGTGGCAAGTTCAAAAAAGTTCACATTTTATGCTTGCATGTATTTGCTTCATACTTATACACATACCACAACTTTGACATCTACATATCTCCTGTGTATACCTTACAACAAGTTTCTAAGGTATACGAAGGTCAATTTGGAGAACTCAGACATTAAGACTATTGACCAACTTAAACAAGCCCAACTTTGTGCCCAAATCCAGAACTGAAAAGAACTTCAAAGAGTCAACCTAAGTCCAGTAGGATAAGGACAGAGATGGACATTAGAGAACAACAAAGTCGGCCAAAAAATTGTTCTTATTGTCACACAAGGAAGACATGTCCAAACATCGCTCAAGCTTTTACTTCTCGCCATTAATTTATGTTATTGTTATTACTTTAAAATTTTCTTCATGTAAATTTTAATTTTATGAATGTCATTGCAACTTATAAATTTTTAGTATTAGTAATTTATGTTAAATATATATATATATATATATATATATCTACATAATATTATTTAATAATATTTATTAATATTAATAACATATTTTTTAAATAAATAATTATGTATAAATTTTAATTAAATAAATAATCTTATTATTATTTAATACTTTTAATTTATTTTATAGAAATATAAAATTAAATAAATTATTATTGTAATTTTTATCAAATACCAATTTAAAATTAATTCAATTATTATTGTAATTTTTCTTTTTTTAAAAAATTTAATATTAAATAACCAAAAATATAATTTCAGAATATAATATTAATATCATTTTACAAAAATAAAAATTATATTAAATAATATAATAAGAAAAATAAAAATATTATTTATTATCATAATTATGTAAAATAAATTTTAATAAACATGTAAAATAAATATTATTTTTATTTTTATTTTATTTTCACATAATAAAATATAAATATATAAATTAATTTAAATAATAATTACTCTTGGTCCAGAATTCGGTTCTTGACTACCTAATGCCTACTACAGTAAAGAGGTTTACTTTCCGTAAATATATTTACTCTTGGTTCTTTTATGTAATTTTATATTTTTTTATATTATTTCTGTAAAATTATCACCATAAAGACTTCGTTCCTCATTATTAATATTTTTTTCGTTAAAGTTTTATACATACAGACATTTGAATCTATAAGTTCTTGAGGTTTTTAATTAATGTTCTTATTTGTACATCTTAATGGTAGGAATCTTGTCCTTAGACCATATTTCTATAAGAAAAAACAAAATATATAAAGACTTCCATATTCAACTTAAAATTTCTACCAAGAGTTCTAGCAAATTTTCCTCATAATAAAATTGATATGAGTATCTAAAGATCCCTTTATTTGCTACAAACAATTTCTCATTATAAATCTTTAAAGGCATATTAAATTTCATATCCAAACTACAAGTTTCTTAACAATAATGATCTTTTGCTTTAATAAGGGTCTCTAAAGCTGAACTAGAAAATAGTAGTCTAATGCTAGTTAAAAGCTTCAAACGGAGCAAATCTATTATCTTTCATACTATCAATTTTTATTAAAAAAAACTCCTATTTAGATAAAGAACCTGTAAATCCTCAATCCTACTCTAAAGAGGTTTTAATTTATTATCTTGATATTTTATAGAAGGGGAAGGATCTTCTAAGCTAAAACCTCTTGCACTTGCTCTAAACCTTTCATTTAATTTACATATAACAAATTATAATTTATTACTTTACTGACCATTAAATGTAAGTTAAATGAAAAACTTAAATCGAGTGTAAGAATTTTTAGACTTACACTAGTGTAAGGTAATCTACCCCTTTAAAGAAATGATTTTCCTTAAAATTTTGACTATTAATGTGTTCTTACATAGAGAACACCATTATCACAATCTTTTAGAGTGATTTTCAGGTTAGGACAAAGCTTATTCAAATCTAGTATTTCAACATCTTCTATATCCTCATCAAGATTAATGTTAAAATATTTTGTTATTGAGGTTAAAATTTCATCATATCTTACTACCAAGTCTAAACCCTTAGATACAATGACTTTATCTTTAAAAGAGAAACAATCTACTCTACAATGGTCATAAATTATTTAAGTTGTAGGGAGCAACCAAATTAATTGAACTTCTTGTTATCTCTATCTTGCATGTTGCCATCAACTTTGACATTTTACTTATGATAAATAGATCATCTTCTTACGTAGACACTTTATCTTCTTTCTCCATTAATAACAACATATCCACCAACTACAACTGATCTTTGAGAAAAAAATCAGCCACTACTACCTCGACTAGCCTCAACTATCTTTATATTTTAGACCATTGTTTAAGTCTATCGTAGTCCATTGGTAGAATAGTACAGTTAGAGGTAAGTGAATTTCCTTAAAATTTAGTAAAGTAATGTTAAGAGAATTCAAAATTTGTTTTTAGTACATATAATATGAATTTTTATATTAAATTATAATATTTTTTTAATTTTTATAATTAAAATTTATTTTTTGGTAATAAAATAATTTTTAAAAAAATAAAATTTTATTTTACAAAATAAGTAAAATATTTTTTAAAATGTTTTTAAATTTTTATTAAAAATATTCATATAATATTTTATAAAATATTTTTATAAATATTAAAAATGATATAAAATATTAGTAAAAATGTAATAGAAAAATATTATTTTATTCTAATATTTTCTAACTAATCAAACTCCCTTAAAATAAGATTATGAAGTGTGAATAAAGGATAAGATAACTTAACATGACAAGATATTAAATCCTATTATTTAATAAACACAAAAATAAAATAAAATAAAATAACATAAATTATCTTATTTATCCTCTTATCTTATTCACTAAACAAGATTTCAATGTTATAACTTTAATAAAATATTATTATTTATTAATTTCTTATTATATATTTTTAAGCATATGTTAAAAACATAACAATCCATTTATTGCATCATAAGCTTAACTATTTAATATTACCTTTGGTCATATTTATAAAAAATAATTATTTATATTTTTATTCTAATTATAAAAAAACAGATTTATATTTGAATATATTAATTAATTTTTTGTATTTTTTTAGTATGAGATTTGTATCAACGAAATATTGATCTTTTACTCATATAAATTAATATTTTATTTATTTTACATATAAATTGTTATTTTAATCCTTAAATATCATAGATATTTTAAAAATATAACATAAATTTATAATATATAATTGTTTTTAATTAATATTAATAAATTACTTAAAATTTTATGATTAACTCAGTTATTTGTTTCTTATAAATAAGACTAAGGTAATAAATAACAAAGCAGAAGTAATTGTACTTTTTATAAAGTTCAGAAATATGTTTCCCTGAAATACTTTGAAAAATTAAAACAATTTAACATTTTAAACAATTAAACGAAACAGTAATCTAATATTCATTTACGTTTTCTCAATAGAAAAATGATTTTTGAACCTAAATATATTTAAAAAATTCGATAATAACAAAATAGTTTTTCAAGAGAAATAAAATAATGCATTATTAGGGTCAAAATAACGCTTAATTATATTAAAAAAATAAGGTTAATAGTGGATTGGTCATATCCGGTAGGCACCGTTGTTTTGTTTGAAGTCCGAAACAGGATGGAATGCATTGGGCCCAACCCAAAGGCTTATGCATAATACGCCAACCGACGCAACCTGACACTATCGTGTATCGTCAGTGTTGCATCTATGCGCTGTCACGCCCACACCACCATCACCCTCTCATTAGATTTTCCAATTTTTACCCTTACCCTTTCCATCGTCATCGTCAAACTCTATAAAAGGTTAGCCACCACACCCAAAAACACCCCTCTCTTCTAGGGTTTTCTTTTTTAAATCTCTCTCTCTCTCTCTCTCTCTCTCTCTCTCAAACTTTCTCTTTTCCTTCTTCATCGTTTCATCTCTCTTTGCTGCGTAAATTGAAATAAAAGCCCAAAGCATTTTCTAGTTTCGTTTTTAATTTTTTTTTTCAGAATAACCTTTCTCAGTTATCATTCACCGGCGATTGTGATTTTCAAACACCGATTGTAAATCTGAGTGTTTTTACTTTGATCCTGGATTTATCTGAGATTTATTATGAAGCGCGCAAGGAAATCTAACAGGGTTTCGTGGGCTACTGGAGGTAACCTGTGTCAGGTATATCTAGAACAATCTTTTTTTATGAAAGTTTCTGTTTTTTTTTTCTTTTTTTTTTTTGCAAAATTTGTGTTTTCGATTTGTTGTCATTTATTGACCCTTCCTTTTCTGAGTTCTTCGCTGTTCGATATCGTCGTATTCGTTTTTTGATTTGCGTTTTTTGTTTCTATAATTTTCTGCGTCGGTCCCTGACATTTTATGGATTGCCAGCTATCGAAGAAACAGGGATACTGCTGTCAATAATAATAATAATAACAATAACAATAATAATAATAATAATGTAAAGAAGAAGAAAAGGATGAAGGAAGATACACATTGAGAATTGTCATGGAAAAGTTTACAATTTAGATAACAGGCTTTAAAAGATCTCATTAACTTAAATACGTAAATACTTAAATCGAGCATGATTAAATACGATTCGATTTTTGAAAAATTAAATAATTTAATTGGTGCTGTAAAACCTTGTAAGTCTAAATTAAACTGTAAATATTAAATATTGATACTTGTGTTAATGAAAAATGAATGTTTCAAATGAGGAATTTCAAAATTGGATGAAGTAGTGCACTGGATAGGTTGGTGAAGGTGTATTTTGCTGTTGTTTTGGATATATTAGCAGTGATACTCCTACCAGAGATGGTGTGCATGATCGCTTGGGAGTTGATGATTAACATTACTAAAAAAGTAAATTTAATGAAATGCTTATCCTGTTAATATGAAGCATGCTGAAGTTGATGACATAACCTTACATTTAACAGTTTTTAATGATTACTGAAACTTTGAAATGTTTTTACAGATTAAAATGTAGGTGTTGTCCTCGACCTTTCTCTGATCACTCTGAAATTAGAACCTTCATTTCGATGGCAAATAATTGCTTGATTGGTTTGAGAAAAGAGATTTCTATTTTCATATAATTTTCTTTCACAAACAATTACAAAATTGCTATTTTGTTTATTGTTTTGTACATTGTTTCTTATAGAAATTCTTGAGAACAAGAAACAACGTAAAAAAAGTGTGATGCTTTTGTAATTATTTGTTAAAATAAGAAATGGAAATAAAAATTTTCTCGACAGTTCCTTAGTCTCTAAAATATAAATTGGGACACATGTGTAAAACTAATAAATAATCTGTTAAGTTATTTATCTATCTAATATATGTTTGCGTGTGTGTGTATACATATATATATATATATATATATATATATATTATTTGTTAGCCATGCCTATTTCCTCAGTTTGTTGCAACTTGTTGATGACAAATTTTAACACTGTACAGCAACGCAAAGCAGGTGACTGCCTAAAAAATGTTATGATAATGTTGACAAATAAAATGCAATTAATTTGTATACATAGATTAATCCTCAATACTCAAAAGATACCCAAGATTTAAGGCAAATTCATCATTAATACTCAAATCATAGCTTAAGGACATAGTTCAGCAGTCAAGGCACAACTAATAATCATAAATCAGTAACAATGATAAGCATAACAAAACATATAACTCAGCCTTAAGAAATGCTGTGAAATAGAGCTGGGAAATGGTGTGAAATGGCTGCATAAAAGCACAATGTAAAAGCAACACATTGCGTGTAGCTGCCACTGGTAATCATTAATACTCAATTCAGAGCTTAATGACGTAGTTAAATAGGCAAGGCAACAAGTCAAATTACAATGATAAGCATAAAAAAAAAAATAACACCCAGCCTTGAGAAGTGTTGTGAAAAAGAGCTGGGAAGTGATGTGAAATAGAGATGTAAAATGGCTGCATAAAAGGACGGTGCAAAAGTGCAACCCCTTGCATGTTACTGCCACTAGTGTAGCACCATGGAATGTTGTTGTGGCACTATTTGCTGCGATTCCCCTGTAGCTGCCACTAGCTGCAACATCATACAATGTTGTTATAGTGGCATCATTTGCGGCTATTCACCTCCAATGCAAGGATTCACTAAAATGGAAGATGTATGCGTATCGTATCTACTGATACAGATTTATAAAAACGTACAGCTAAATTTGTTCCCACCGTATATCCTAGACCTCGTTGTCATTGTCCTCATACTTGGCCACATGGTCTCGTGCTTTGGTATTTTAGTGTTAACTTTTTCATTTTCTTTATTGATACCCCTTGTTGCCCTCATTGGCGATGATAATGTTGACAGCATCTGCATTAAGGGGTTATATAGAACAAAAGTGGTGTTCGCTGTGCTTTTGCATTTCTGCTCCTTTTGGCATGCAAAACACGAGGAAAAAGACCAGTGTGTAAAGTTTATGCTGTTAACCCGTCTTGACCTTTTGTAAGATTTGCTTGGACATGTTCAAGGCATTGTATCTTGTCCAAGACTTTTTCCTCATATATGGGTTGTATTCACTAAAGTGTAGCTCTGATTAGCAGAAAGAAAATTTTTTATTGTCTTGAATTTTTTTTTTTTTAAGAAATAGTTATGAATGATTAGTTATAGTAGTTGAACTGTACTTTTCATTTGAAATATTTAACTGTAATATTTTAAATGATAAACAGCTGCATGGTATGAGCCATGTTGAAGTGTTGGAGTATATATATATATATATAACATTTATAAGTCAACTTAAAATGTGATATAATACCATGTTTCACTCCTTATGAGATAGTGTATGGGCGTAACCTTCCATCAGTGATGAGGTACTTGGATGGAGAAACTAAAGTAGAGGTTGTAGTTAGAGATCTTAAAGATAGAGATGAGGCCCTGAAGCAGTTGAAATTCAATTTCAGTAAAGCACAAGAACAAATAAAATTTTATGTAGACAAGTGCCGGAGAGATGTAACTTTTGCTATTGGTGATTGGATTTTCCTTAAACTGCATCCACATAAGCAGTCTTTTGTGTCCCAACGGATTTATTTGAAACTGTCCCCATGATATTTTGGCTCTTTTCAGATCTTGGAAGAAATTAGAGTAGTGGCTTACAAGCTTCTTGGTTACCTTCCACTTCTAGTGTTCATCCAGCATTCAATGTATCACTGCTCAAAAAGGCTATTGGCAGGCTATTGACCAGTATTCAGCTACTCCTGATTTGCCAAAGGATATGGCAGTAGATAGTGTGACAGAACCAGAGAAGGTTTGGGCAGTATGGAACAAAATGAAGGGGGGTAACCTATTCAAGGAATATCTATTTCACTGGAAGGGAATTGCAGCTGAAGACTCTACTTGGGAGGAAGAATTTTTTATGAAGAGTCAATTCCCTCATTTCAGCCTTGAGGACGAGGCTACTGTTTCAGCAAGAGGTACTGTTGGGACTGTTGGCCCAAGTGATGAATTAAGGGAAGGGGATCAGTTATTGGATCCTACTGAGAAGCTCAAAGTGTGGAGGGTGTATGTGAGAAAGAAAAAGGGGAATGGGGCATAAAAGGAATTTAATGCATGAGTTAGTTAGAAGGGACATAATAAGAGTAAGAGGCGAGGTTTGATGGGGGAAGAAAAAGTAAGTTGTTACATTTTGTTAGAGGGAGCAGTGTAGGAGTCATAGGCTTTGGTTATGTGTAGTCACTTTTTTTTTTTTTATATTCATTAATACTTGCATCTCATTTTCCTTCAAAAATATCAAAAAAAGTCTTGGTTTGTTTTTGTGAGGCTCATTCATAGGGAGGTGGATATACCGGAACAGACTAATCTTCATTATTATTTTAGATCTTTTGTTATATTGTATACATTTAACTTCATTTGATATAGATGTTTGTGTTGAACCAGCGTCCTGTATGATGTTTGTCATTTTTGTGTCAGAATCTATGTCATTGTCATCAGCTTCAAATTATTAAATGTAGTGGCATTGGATATTTATTTTGGATAGTCCTGTGTCCATATTTTCTTAGCCAATTTGGAGATCTTTGTTTTGTTTGCTATAGCGGCTGCTTGGCAATTTGCTATGCTGCCATAGCATTTTGGGTGGTCACTCTGCATTGAGTTCTATACCATTAACTACTTAGCTGAGTTTGAATGCCTTGAGGCAAAAAGCATCAAGAAGCACATGCCTTACTAAAGAAAGATGTTAACATTAGTAAAAGAAAACTGTAAGGTATCTGGCCATAATGCGTTATGTTTTCTGTTAAATTAACTACTCCGGCATAACATCCATGATAAAAGTAGAAGTTTTTTTTAGCCATTGTAAGGTACTTAAGGTGTGGCACTGTCTACCCGTGAACCAGAAATGTGATCCTAAGGTGCCAAGAGATACTAATTTCACTGGGGATTACGTTCATAAATTTGATCACTTAGACAAAATTGATAGAAGTTTTAACCATGAGTTGAAAAATGGATTCTTCTCTTAGCTTTGTACGGAAACCCCATTAAATTCAATTTGATTCCTGACTGTTAATAATTTTATAAGGTTGAAGTTCAGTGCTTTTGAGGTGGTCACAGTTAGGATTATGACCTGGGTATTCAATAATACGGTTGCTATTACTGTGTTGGTATTACAAATGTACGAAGCCAGGCACACAATAAGTTTTAGCAGGGGTAATACATAAAACAATTGTGGAGCAATTGACTGTCATTAAGAAGTTGATTTACTGATATTTTAACCTAATGTGAAGTTTTAAGCTCTTCTATCTCATGAAGAATGGGAAATATATATATTCATGGATGATGTGGCACTTTAATGAATAGAAGTATATGTGTGTAAGAGTTCAGTTTGGTTTGGATTAATTTCAAGATTGGAATTGAAAAAGTTCAGTTTTTCATTTTTTCCACTTAGTGTATTAATTTTTGCAATTTGCATTGAATAGGAATGGTTTTGAATGCAAACTCTTACTTTTAGTAGTAGGCTGGATGTTTTTGTTTGTTTTATTACTGATTGCCATTCTTGATAAATATAAGACAACGTCAATTACCAGCTTAAAGATTCTGAGTTAGATTGACAGAAACTTCTCTGAAAGGTTTTTACGTTTTAACATAATTTTTGAAGTGTCCCATTAGCCTTTAAAAATTGCTCGAGTCACCATATGTCAAGCAGTTCTCAGATAGAAGTGAGGTAGATAGAACTCATACATGAATTTACACGTTCTTATTTGTTTGAAGTGTAAATTTGGCTTCTGGTTTTGAGAAATGAACTAATCTGAAGCTTTTCAGGTGGCAACAGTGTATTAAATAGATTCCTCTCCATTTTGCTTTCTTGTATTTATTTTTCACAATAACTAACTGTTTTCCTAACTGGTTGCAACATCTGATATTATTCTTTATTTTGTGGTTTTGTGCTTTGGGTGGGATTCTTGTGGTATTGGTTATGCTTTAGTTTTCATAATTTATTCGATATATTACTGAATGATGTTGTTAACCCTGAATTTTTTATCTTGGCATTTGTAGATAAATTCTCAAGGTCCCATCGTGTGTATTTAAATGACTGCTTATTTATAGTTTTCATATTTATGTAGTGTTGTAACTTCATTTTAACCTATTTGTTATGTATGCTACTATACTCGCACTCTTGTATGTAACACTAATACTAGTGTGACCTAACAGGTAAAATTGTTCTTGTCTGAGGATTACCCTTCAAAAGTTGGCCAGAGAACGCAAGATCATCTACAGGCAAAGATATCATCAGTGTTACATTCAAGTATCAATGAACCTAATGATTTACCCCCGGGGTTTGAAAGCAGTCATTTTCTAACCCAATCGAAGGCTGAATTCTCCCACATTTCCCAGATCAAATGGGAACGCCCTCCACTGGTAATTCTTCACTGTATGTTATTTAGAACCTCTATTTGCAAGTAACTCACTTTATTGCAATATCTATTTTATTGAATTCCTTTAACTATTACATCTAAGTGGCTTGTTTGTCATTCTCTTATCAGTATATTGATTTCTTTTTCTTTTTCTTTTTTTCTTGCAATACAGTTTGTCTTCAGTCCTCATTGGCGTGTTGCAGCTGGTGAAGAAAGTAAGGAGAAAGAGGATCAGAAGCTGAGAGAAGTGAGAGTGCTTGAAGCAGTTTACCCCCGTCTTTCTGCCATTCCGCCTAGGTAAAATGCCACACCTTAATTGAGAAAGCCTTGTGGTACTTACTTCCTTTTGTTACTAACATTGTTGAGTTGCATTTGGGAGTTCAGCCCTTCTGTCTCTTTGGATGTAGAAGAGGAAGAATATGATGATACCATTACTCCTCTCATCCCTATCATACCCATTGAAGAGGAAGAGTTTACGGAATATGATGTGAACCCTCCCCTCAATGTGCAGTCGCAGAACACACTGCAATATATATCAGGAACAACCCCCATTGGTCCGGCCTCTAATGCCCCTTGTACTGTTTCCTCGGATGCCTGTGCAAAGCCCTTACCTGGGGTATCCTCCGGTTTGGAAGGAGACTTTGTAGCAGCCTCAGCTGTTGTAGCAACCATTATGAAGAGTAATGAGCAAGGACGCATGATTGACATGGATTTACTGGTTAAGATATTTAACGATCCAGAGATGATTGAGAAGCTAATTAATGAACATGGAACTACAGCTACTACTGTAAGTACTTCCGCAAATACTGTGGATATACCCACTTCTGGTATGAAACCTGCTATTCCATCAGGTCCATTGTCTACATCTGCACCTGATGTGTCGGCTTCTGGGACTACATCCACAAGCACAGTGGGTTTATTACCCTCTGGCTTGAAGCCTGCAACTCCCTCAGTTTCATTGTTAACTCCTACACCTGATAAACCAGCAACTTTGTCAGCGTCTGCAATTCCATCAGTTTCACTGACTTCTACACATGATAAAACAGCAACTGCATCAGTTCCTTTGTCAAGGCCTGTATCTGGTAAACCAGCATCTCCCTCAGTCTTATTGCCTACACATACACATACACCTGCACTTGCACCTGCACCTCATATGCACAGGCCTGTCAACCAAAGTATTCACCATATGTCAAGTGGAATGTCCCCTGCTTCAAATGCTCGTTCTCAGAAAGATACAGTTCTGGCATCTGGGCAAAAGCGAGCTGCATCATTGGCGTCCATATCTTCTAGTGAATTAAGCTCTGTCCCATTGCCACCTGCTACTGGTAACTTGCATGCTGTGAATCAGGCAAAATCCACTGCTAGTGCAATGCCTTATAAACTTAGTACAGGTTCAGCATTTGCTGTTAAGGATGCCAACTATTATAAAAACCTCATCAGGCAACACGGTGCGGATAAGCAAGATATGCAGGACTCACACTTAGGTAACCGACATAGTAACTTCCAAGATATGAAACTGGTACATAACATTAAACACGGAGAAGTGAAACACAAAATCCAGAAACCATGCATGTACTTTAAAAGCTCAAGGGGGTGCCGCAATGGTTCCAATTGCCCTTTTCAGCATGATGTTTCAGTTCAGTGGGGAGCTGGTAACGTCCTAGGGGCACAGAATGCAAAAAGATTGAAATTGGGACCAGAAATTTAGGGGAGAATTAAATCATAAAGAGGCATATTCTAATGGTAAAAATTATAAGCCTTCTTTTGCTTCACCGTACAGAACTTGCACATACAGAGAGGGGGGATGGAAAGAGAGGGAGTGAGAGGATGGAGTGTGACATTGATTTAATAGGTTTACTAAGTTTTTTGGGAGTGCTTGGAATTGGTGGCCGGGTTGTACATGATTTCGGGTTTTGCATTAACTTTCGTACAATTGGGTCAAAGGTAAAGGTTCTTTGACAGGGTTAGTCGGTTTAAGAATTGACATTAGTGTTTTGGACAAAATGGTATTTTGTTTTTCCAGTTTGGGGAGATTGTGCGGTCCCGGTCAAGTGGTGGCCATCCGTGGAGTTCTTAGGCGGATGGTTTTCATTACATAATAAGAAATAATAAAATGAAATAAATAAAATATAAAAAATGCTAACATCACTCCTTAAAGACTGGTTTTAAGGATTGAAAACCTTTAAAATTTTATTGAAAAAGTATTTATTACCTAAGAATACAATAATATAATAAATATTTCAATCAATACAAATTTATTGTTTTTGTATGTTCAAAAATAGTTTTAATGATTGGTGATAAATTGACAAAATGATGGGAAGGTTTAATTTTGAGAAAGATCGACGAATTTTACGATTGAAAAATGAAAAATATAATCTGGGATGAGTAATATAAAGACTGCATGTGCTTTCAGAAAGTTCCTATTCAAACATTATTATTATAGTGTGTAGGTACTGACAGTGAGTATGCAGTTACTAAATTCAACGGACATATTAATGAAAATGAAAGTTGGGTCAACGTTATCAAAGGTTCTATAATAAATGGTTACATGATTTTATGTATATTTCTAACTTGTTCAACTAATAATATAAATATAAGAACTTTGAATCTCAACATTCTAGTTGCCCATAAATAGTGCTTTTTCAGTCAACCATAACAGGTTGTAGTTTTGAAAATAAGTTATTTGATACTGTTGTTTATTTTTTTACTTCCCGATGAATTTGAATCTTTTGTTTCTTTTCTCTTTTTAATTTAAATCAATATTTTACTTTAACTTATAGACTTACCTTTTACTTATTTTGGCTTGTGATTTCAAAATTACATTGCCTTTTACAATTTACAAGAAGACATTGTGGAGTACTAAAACAGCTTTTGAAAACATTCAATTTTGTCCAGTTATATATAATTCAAAATTAAGTTTAAAACAATCAAGCTTAATGTAATATACTGTATTTGACAAGCAATATATATATATATATATATATAGGAACATAGGAAAGAGATTATGTAGCTGGAAAAAGAATAAATTATTTAACAAGAGGTTAAATTTTAATAATAAAAAAAAATGGGTCCTGTAAAGCTATATGAATTCTATGCTTATGAGGTTCCAAATTCAGCAGGCATGCACCATCGAGGTGGTTATACTTTAAATTCCTATAATTACGAAATAAAAATTTTACTCAATTGCGGCAATAGAACCATTAATCCTATGATTATAGGTTTTATTACAATTTCAATTGCCATTGGCTTTGAGACCTTTTTCTTCAATGCAACTGCAATTACGTATCATTGTTCAATCTCAATTAGTCAAAACTTAAAACACCTATCAAAAAAATAAAAAAATCAAAGAAAATCGACTACATTCGACCCAATTCAAATAACCTACGCAGAATTGTTGTCACAATTATACAAGAGCTTTAAAGGAGGAAGTGAGGAGAGAAAAAATGTGACTATACTCCATTTTACATAAATGATGCTATATAAACAAATAAGATTTAAACTCCCTCAAACTGCTAGTGATCTATTATACTAAAGATCCTAGTATCCCGATGATTGAGAAACCCAAGCCTATTACATAAAGATGTCAACTCCTTTCCCCTATCAAAATAATAAGGCAAACCCATGAAACTATGGTGCAAAAGTTTATGTAGATGACATTAACATGTGCCCTGATATATCCAGTATTGCAGGAATTGGTGGGTGAATTAGAAGTGGTTGTCTCTACACTATTGAAATATTAAGAAGAGATATTGAAAAAGAAACAACTCGCAATGACGACAAAGAAGAAAAAGTGAAAGAAAATTTGGTTGATTCGAGAAGCAAACACTAGTAAAATGAAAAATGAAGGAGTGAGGAAGCATATTGGTGATGACGAAGCTCCTGAATTCATGAAGCTTATCAGACAAAGCGAATATCTGATTATGGACAAATTGAATAGAGTTCCTACTAAGATTTCACTTTTATCTCTCCTAATGAATTCTGAACCTCATAAAAAGGCCTTGTTGCATATTCTAAATGACGCTTATGTTGTTCATGACATCTTTATGGACAAACTTGAAGGGATAGTTAGCAACATTTTCTTGGACATAACAGGGCACTACATTTATTAATGAATGTCTAAATCACATTTTGTCTAAAGTGTTGATTGATAATGAGTTTTTATTGAATGTAATGCTAAAAAATGACTTTGGTCAAATTGCTTGCTAATGAGTTGCACTTATGACCAAGTTCAATTATTGTTAGGACTTTTGATGGATCTCGTAGGAAATTGATTGATGACATAACCTTTCTCATTCAAATTGGCCATGTTATCTTTTAAATAACTTTTCAAGTCATGAATATCACACCAACATAATGCTGTCTACTTGGGAGGTCATAGATTTATTGTGCTACGGTTGTACCTTCAATCATTTACCAAAAGATGAAATTCATAGTGGATCATAAGTTGATCATTGTTTTTGCAAAAAACGATTTACTAGTGAGCAAACTCTCTAATTCTCCTTATATTGAGGTAAGGACAAAGCTCTTGAGACGTCGTTCTAAACTTTCAAGATTGCTAATACAACAATATAGGATAATATTCATCTTCTAGTGCCTTAATAATGGTAACAAAGGTCGCTAGAGAATAGGTACCAATGTTGTTATAACCTGGGAAGAAATCAACATAATTTAAGAAAACCTTTGAGTTTAAAAGATAACAAAAGTTGCTTTGGTCTTAGTTACAACCCTTCAAAAGCAATCAAAATAATTCATTTTACATCTGTTTACGGTGAAAATTGCAGATTGTAAACAAATAAATTTAAAAACAATTTGAGATTGAATTTTTGACCCTCTTTTTGATTCTTTTAAGTGTGTTGTGATTAGAATGATTAACTAGATGTCGTAGAGGAGAGTGTTAAGCACGAATAGTAGAACGGCGAGATAGAAATAATATCAAGCTGAGCATAAACATTTACAGAAATATACTAAACAAAGACGTAATTGCAAGAAAAAAAGTGTAAATGGAGCAAGAAATACACAAACTGGAATTAAACTGCATAAAGGTAAATTACGGAAATGTAAACGTACAGCTCTAAGCAAACAACAATGAGGGTTGTGAATCCTCTAACTGGACTTGGTGCAAAATTTCAGTGTGTAGAGTATCTGAGCATAAGTGTGGTGCAAAAAGTCATCCTTGAAAATGTGAAGCTTTGTAACATTTATGGACAATGCTCCTTAATCAGCCTCTTTTTTTTTGCGGACACTTTTTGATAACTACTTCTTGTGCTTGATTGCCTTCAACCGCTGCTATCCATTATCTATAACTACTTATAATCATGCTGATAATTGTGGTTTCTCAATAATCGTTGTTACCCACGATCATCTCTTTGTGCCTACGATCTTTTCTTCGTGACCTTCAATTGGTGCTAAAGCTTTAAACTTTGTTTGAGCCTTGTGATTTTTTGTCACATTTCCTTACCTCCTAGACTCCACCTTGTATCTTTGCCTTGGAATAAATTTCTTATTATGTTTTGACAATTGTGAAGAAAATTGTCGAAAACTCTTGTGGACTTAGAATAATTTTTTAGGGGAATCTGGGAAGATCTGGGACTCACATAGTTTTGTGGACTTAGAATAATTTTCCTGTCAGCTCCTATTTTTTGATCAATTTTAGGAGAAATCTGGGAATTCATTCAGTCTTGTGAACTTAGAATAATTTTTCTGTCGATTTTTATTTTTTAACCGATTCTGAGGAAGATCTAAAAGTTCATTCAGTCTTGTGGACTTAGAATAATTTTCTTGTCAATTTTCATTTTTTGACCAATTCTGGAGGACATCTGAGAGTTTATTCAATTTCATGTAGGGATGGAAACAGGTCAGGCCAGACTAGGCTTTACTTTAAACAGGCCTGACCTGTAACATAATTATTAGGCTTGAGCTTGGCCTGTTATCTGTTAAAGGCTTTATTTTCAGCCTAGTCTGACCTGTTTAGGTAGCCTGGCCTGGCTTGAAGCTTATTAAGAAAACCTGTTACAAAAAAAAAAATCTTAATATTAATAAAAATATAAATATTTTATTATCAAATTAGTTTACATATTTTTCTACTTTTCATTTGTGTTATTGATAATTATTAAATAATTGTAATAATTTTTAAAATATTATTTAAGCACTAATTAAAATGTTTCATATTAAATAAATTTTTATTTATATTTTTTGATTTATTTTTAAAAATTATTAAATTATTAAAGATTTTAGTTTTTTATATCATATTTTATTTGTTTAAAGACATCTTATATTTAATAAATAAAGTCATAGTAAACACATAAAATTAATCACAAAAAATAATGTTCACACAATTTTTTGAATCAACTGAAAGAAAATTATTATATTTTAAAAAAAATAAATTTAAATTTAATATAATGTATATATATATATATATATATATAATGACAATAATAACAACTATTAAATTAAAAGAAAAATAAAATAATTATAAAATATTTAATTTTATTTATTTCATTAATTTGTTATTTTAAATTAATAAATACCCATAAAATTAACAACACTATAACATTAATATAATATAAAAAAATATTACTAATATAATAAATTAAAATATATAATTATATATAAAATATAAATTAATAAATTATCTAATAATTTAATTTTTTATTTATGTAAATATTTGCGAATTATTGAATTTCAAATGTATGTTAATAACTATAATTAAAGTATTAAAGATTTTAATTATTTTTTAATAATAATTATATTTTATTTGTATAAAGACATCTTATATTTAATAAATAAAATCACAATAAACACATAAAATTGATAAAAAAAAATAATACTCACAAAATTTGTTGAATCAGCTAAAAGAAAATTATTATATTTAAAAAAGTAAATAAATAGTTATTGTAAAAATTATACATAAAAATATTTATATTATAAAATTCAAGGATGCAGAAAAAGAATATATGAGCATAGTAAGAATTAATAAAATTTATATTTAAATTAAAATAACTTATATTTCTAAAATTTTATCTTAATAAAAAATATGTAATAAAACTTAATATATATATATATATATAATGACAATAATAATAACTATTAAATTAAAAAAATTAGAAAATATTTAATTTTATTAATTTTTATTTTGAATTAACAAATATACGTAAAATTAACTACACTATAATATTAATATAATATAGAAAATATTGTCGATGCAATACATTAATATATATATATATATATATATTATAAATTGATAAATTAATTAATAATTTAAAATTTTATTTATACTTTTTTTGTAAATATTTATTAATTATTAAATTTTAAATGTATATTAACAACTATATTTTTTAAGAAAAAAATCTATTTACATCTATGTCAAATTCGTGAAAAATAATTATTTAAAATTTGACATATTTATATTTAGGTATGTGCTGTGTACTGTGTATCTGGTATGTAAAATTTTTTTATAAGTACTTTACTCAAAAAATTTACACTAATAAAAATGAAATACATATTAAGTTACAAAAAATATATATTATTATATATAATTTATTTAAAATTATATTATTTTTATTATTTACCATATTGTCCTATTATATATACATATATTGTATATGACATTTTTTATTTTATTTTTCTATTATTTTTTTATAAAATTTTAGTTTTAAATAAAATATAATTTATATTTAAAGAATTTTTATTTATTATAAAGAAAAATAATTAAACATAATATATTAATATAATAATTAAATAGTAATAGTAATAAAATTAAGAATATAAAAAATATATTAATATAATTATTTGGGATAAGGAAAATTTTCTAAGTTAAAAATCATCTTGAAAAAAACTACATTTCAACAAGTTTTGAGAGTCAAGAAGGAGCCAAAGATAAGCTTGAATATAAAAAGAACACATTTCGAGCTATTTTAGAGGTTTTTGTCACCTTATTGATTTTTCTCTAAAACTGCTCGAAAAACAGGACTGACAAGAAAATATTTTAAGTTCACAAAACTGAAGTCTTTTTTCGAGGAGTTTTGAAGGGTTTCCAAGTCACTGACATTCAAAACTGCTCGAAAAACAGGACTGACAAGAAAATATTCTAAGTCCACAAAACTGATGGTTTTTTTGAGGAGTTTTGAGGGGTTTCCAAGTCACTGACATCTAAAACTACTCGAAAAAACAGGACTGACAAGAAAATATTCTAAGTCCACAAAAACTGATGGCTTTTTGAGAAGTTTTTGAGGAGTTTTCAAGTCCCCGACACCCAAAACTGCTCGGAAAACAAGAAGTGGTCAGAAAATATTCTAAGTCCACAAACCTAGCTGAGCTCCAGATTTCCTCCAGAATTGCTCGAAAAACAGAAATGAGCAAAGAAAATGTTATAAGTCCACAAGACCAAGACAGGCTCTCAAAACTCCAGAATGGCTCAAAAAGAGAAGTCAAAAAGAAACTATTCTAAGGCCATAACATTTAAGGAGTCTCCTAGATTCCTCTCAGAAATACTCGAAAGATAGGAGTCTTGAAAAATTCAAAACCGGTTACCAGTAGTTATCAATATTCACCACTACGCAAAGGAGATCATGGGCGACAGCGGTTACGAAAGAAGCCCCAATGAACAGCACGATCACAAGCAATCGTGGATAGTGAACATCAACAGTTGAAGACAGTTACTAAGAAGTGCCCGCAAAAGGAGGAAAACGGTGATGATCTTCATGTCTATAAATAATGGTTGTTGCTGTTCAGTGCTAGGAGTCGTACGTTTACATTTCAGTACCTTTACATTCCAGCATTTACCTTTCTGCATTTTAATTTCAGTGCTTGTTGCTTGTATCTTTGTACGCTGTTTGTTTCCTGTTTACTACATTTTTGTAAAAGCATCTACGTTTGATTCAATTTTGCACATTTATTATTCACTATTCTTGCTTAATACTCTTTTACGCCGTTAATTTGAGCATCACGCTAACAACACACTTAAAAGAACCCAAAGAGGACCTAAATCCAGTCCCCAGATTGATCTTTGGATTATTTGTTTACAACTGTCATTTTTCACCGTAAACAAATTGGCACGCCCAGTGGGACCATATTGTATGTTTTGAATGATTGATTGCTTTGTTGCATGATATTACGTAACGAACGTTGTATTATGGCTAATAGAGGAAGAAATAGTGATTCTAGTTCTAGGAATGGCAATTCCAGAAGTGATGGTAGTGATACCAACCCAGAAAATGTAAGCGACAGTACTACTACTGCCGCACAACCCACACCAACGACGGCGTTACCTACGCCGTTATCTCCCGTAGTTAGCCAATTTATGATTACTATGCCGCCAACTAATCCCAGCATAAATCCTGGCCCAAGGCCAAGGCTGGGTGATCACCCATTTGGCTTACCTCCCGTGTGTATGCCTCCTATCTTTGGAGTATCAACCTACTCCAACCCTGTGGTGACAACCGTGTCACCTCAGAGTCACACCATTCCACCGGGAATGGGTGTACTCCATACCATTCCACCGGGAATGGGTACGATTGGTGGAATACCCGAAACGCAATTTGCGTTTGGAGCTTCGAGTGGGGATTCACTTCCTGCTAGCTCGTTTTCGAATGTTGCCTTACATTCCATGAGGCAGCAAATGGATGAAAGCAATCACGAGATGGTCAATATTCTAACTCATCAAATGACCACTGTGTTGAATCCCATAGTGGAAACGACTAATACCAGCTATCAAATTTTGGTTGAACAAATGCGTTGAATTGCTGACGTTTTTGGAGCACCTCAAGTTCCTATAGGGCAAGGGAAAAATGTTGCCCAAATACCTAATCGAGATGCCACCAATCTTGGTAGAAATGGTCAATTTTTTGAGCAAAATAGACCAAATTTTGGTCCAAATTTTCCGAGACAAAATGAAGGAAATTTTCAGGTAGACCAACCCCTAGTTTTTACTCGAAATCCAAATGCTCCGTTTGAGCAAATTGGTCAAAATCTCGACCAAAACCTTCTGAGACAAAATGAGGGTGATTTCCAGGGAAATCAACCCTTTATTATTGCTCGAAATCAGAAGGCTGATGAAATACTTGAGCAAGTTAGGCAAAATAATGTAGGGGGGCATCAAATTCAATATCCAAAGAACCCGAATCCTCAAAATATTGCCAATGTAGTCGAACAAGTCCTGAATCAACATGGGTTCGACGTAGGGTATGCTAATAGACCTTACTTTGTCTCAGCATTCTCTGAGGCAATTTTGCAGGCTGAACTGCCTCAGGGCTGGAAAGTCCCAAAATTCACTAAATTTGCCAAAGATTCTGGTGAATCTACAGTAGAACATATAGCTAGATACGCCATAGAATGTGGAGATTTAGCTCGAAATGAAGATTTAAAGTTAAAGTACTTTCCTAGTTCTTTGACTAAGGGGGCCTTTACCTGGTTCACAACCTTACCCCCGAATTCAATTCATAACTGGAATCAATTAGAAAGAAGGTTTCATGAACAATTCTTTCGTGGTGAAGCGAAAGTTAGCTTAATGGATTTGGTTAATATAAAAAGAATACATAATGAATCCATTGACGATTATCTAAGTAGATTTCGACAAATGAGGTCGAGATGTTTTACTCAAATTCCAGAATATGAACTAGTCCAAATGGCTATAGGCGGATTAGAGTACTCGATTAGAAAGAAATTGATTAATCAGCAGTTAAGAGACATGTCGCAGTTAGCGACGAGAGTGAGGCAAATCGAGCAACTTAAGGCTGAAAAATTTGTCCCTAAGAAAATAGAGAAATTTCCTCGAAAAGACAAAGTGGCTTACATAGGTCTCGCTGAAGGAGAAATAGGAAGCGAGAATGATCTCGACGAAGAAGATGTCGATTTAGGGGTAAATGAGGTAAATGTAGCTGAATTAAAACCAGGACCCCCTTATGTTTGCCAGTCTTTAAAATCACTCAAAATTAAGGACAAAACTCAACCTAATAAGAGTTATGCCCTTGATGTATCTAAAGATGATCATATTTTTGACATTTTATTGAAGAATGGGCAAATTATATTATCTGATGATCATAAAATCCCTACTGTAGAACAAAGAAAGGGTCGAAAATATTGTAAGTTTCATCATGTTTATGGTCATTGGACTAATAACTGTGTTCGTTTCAGGGATCTTATTCAGGACGCCATTAAGCAAGGACGATTAAAATTCGAGCAAAAAACCAAAATGCCGATGAAAATCGATTCTGATCCCATGCAAATAAAAGCTAATTTCGTGGAACCTATCGACATACTGATGGTCGATGTTGCTGAACAACAGGGGTCATTCGATCGAGCTGTAGAAGAGTTAGAAGGAAAAGGCTCTTTGAATGACACCCTCGAAGCCTTCGAGAAGGAAGAAGCTGAAATCTTCCCAAAGGCTGGGGACTCGCTGCTGGACTTTCTAACTCGAAAGAAGGAAGCAGACAGTGAGGTCATGCTGTGCCCAAGGTGCAGCGCCGTCTTTGATAAAGCGGCAGTTAAAGCCTTCGAGCAATCAGAGATGAAGAAACACTATCAAGTGACCACCAACTAGGTAATCACCAAGAACAAAGGGATCCAGACCCAGAATGCTTCTATCACCACACGTGATCCCCAGACTGTCCAAAGCAGGACCTTCGTACATGCTCAAAACGTTCCAAGCAACACATGGGTTTGAAACGTGCTGCACCCATCATTAACTCGACCAAAACTGCAGATGGTCGAAAAGGGCAGACCGTCACATTCGACGGTCATGCCACAACAAGTTTTCTCACAACCCAAGTTTTTCACTCAAACTGGGTTCCAGAATTCATCCGAGAACCATTTTCAGTCGAAAAAGCCCTATTTTAAGGCTCCTATGACTAAAACTCAGTGGCGGAGGGCTCAAAGAATCAGGAAGGCTGAGCATGAAGCACAAGCCTTGGCTCAAGCTCAAGCTCAAATCTAGGCACAAGCTCAAGCTCGAATCCAAGCCCAAATTCGAGCTCAAAATCAAGTCCAACAAACCCAGGGAAATGCCGCCAGAAATATGCGGTGTACTCCGGTTAGTGTCGAAATCAAAGCGACTCAAGGGAGAGCACCAGCAATGAAAAAGGACTTGAAGATGAAAAGCCCAGAAATCGAGTACGATGCGAATGATGAGTTGATCACCGATGTATTCGAATCAGGCTTTGAAGATGATCTCGAGGATATACTTGGGGTCGTATCCATGCTGCCTGCTGAATATGCCGAAGGAATCGGCGAAGGAGATGAAGAAGACTTCTATGCCGATGACGAACCCGATAATAACCTATGGGGTTATTGTTATTTGGCAGAGGATGGTTCACTTGCTAAATCGTCGGCTGTTTTCGAGAAGCCGACACGTGAAATGAAGAGTCATATGAAGCCGCTATACATTGCAGCTTGAATTGACGAAAAATTTTGAGTGAACAAAGTCCTTATGGATTTTGGGGCAGCTATCAATATTATGCCTAGTTTTTTACTGAAAAAGATTGGGAAATCCGAAGAGGATTTGCTCCCACACAACTTGGTACTAACGGACTATGAAGGGAAATCTTCAAGTTCCAAAGGGGCCCTAATCGTCAACTTGAGGGTTGGATCTATTTCTCGAGCAACCATCTTCGTAGTGGTAGCTTCTAAGGCAAGTTATAATCTATTGCTTGGGAGAGAATGGATTCATGGGGTTGGGGCAGTACCTTCGTCACTGCATCAGAAACTATGTCTTTGGAATAACAACGGAGTGTTGGAATACGTCGATGGAGATCAAAGCTATTTTAAGGCTGAAGTTCATGTAAGCAGTCTCGATAGCAAAACATTCGACAAGTCTTTTGCCAACATTGTGCCACTCCGTATAGAAGATATAGGCGGCCCTCATTTTGGCCGAAATCCTCTCCTGCCAAATGCTCGCGAAATTCGACACCAAATTTGCCTAGACCCTTCGGTGGGTTTTTACGGCTTCCAAGAAATAGTGGAGGCCGAAAAGAATGGAAATGAAGAGTCTTGAAAAGAGCCTTTTGGCTCGAATTTCGGCTTACGTAGCCGAAAATAAAATAAAAACGGCTCTCGAAGCCGGGGATACTTTGGAGGCCGATAAATTTAGTTCGGCCATAAAATCACAAAAAATTGAAGAAATCTCGGCCCATAAAGCCGTAAACCCAATCCAAGGCCATGCAAATATCAACATGGTCGAAAGTTCGGTTCATCTAGCCGAAAGAAGAGAAGCGGCCCTAAAAGTGGCCGAAGGATTGGAGGCCGATTCACCATATTCGGCCATTAAGTCAAATTCGGCTTATCTAGCCGAACAAAGGCACACAGAACTCGAAACATGTGTGATTCAAGAAGGATCGGTTCTAGAGACCGAAGGCAACGATGTCCGGCTTGATTGCATCTACGATGATGCACCGATTAGCTTCGAGAAAGATTCAGCTCGAAAAGGACCAAAAATGGAGGCACAAGATCCCTTAGAAGAAGTGAACCTTAGAGATGAGAAGGGGCCGAGGTTAACTTTCATCAGTAAATTGGTCGACGGAGAAGTGAAAGACCAATTAATCAAGCTACTAAGGAAATTTAAGGATTGCTTCGCCTGGGATTATGACCAGATGCTAGGCCTTTCGAGGGAATTAGTCGAACGTTGACTCCCAATTCGACCTGAAAAGAGGCCAGTAAAGCAACCACCTAGGAGATTTGCACCAGAGATTTTGCCAAAAATCAAGGAAGAGATTGAAAGGCTCCTTAGAGCAAAGTTTATTCGTACAACCAGGTATGTTGACTGGATCTCGAACATAGTACCTGTGATTAAGAAAAATGGATCTCTTAGAGTTTGCATTGATTTTCGGAATCTAAATACTGCTACACCAAAAGATGAATACCCTATGCCAATAGCCGATATGTTAGTAGATTCGGCAGCAGGTAATGAAATTTTAAGTTTGTTAGATGGTTATTCAGGGTACAACCAAATTTTTATCGCTGAAGAGGATATATCGAAAACAACTTTTCGATGCCTTGGGGCTTTAGGAACTTATGAATGGGTAGTAATGCCATTCGGATTAAAAAATGCTGGAGCTACATACCAGAGGGCAATGAACACTATTTTTCATGACATAATAGGCAAATTTTTGCAAGTTTATATTGATGATATTGTCGTGAAATCTAAGTATAAAAGTGACCATGTTGGTCATCTTCGACAAGCATTTGAAAGAATGCGAAAATATGGCTTGAAGATGAATCCTCTAAAGTGTGCTTTTGGTGTTATTACAGGATAGTTCCTTGGATTTATTGTTCACCAAAAAGTAATTGAAATCGACAAGAATAAGGCCAAAGCAATATCTGAGACACAAGCCCCTTCGACTAAAAAACAACTGCAATCGTTGCTAGGGAAAATAAATTTTCTACGAAGATTTATTTCCAACCTTTCTGGCAAGGTTAAAATCTTCTCACCCCTATTGAAGTTAAAGAAAGAAGAAGAGTTTCGATAGGAGGTAGAGCATCAAGCTGTTTTCGAGGAGATAAAGCAATATCTGACAAAACCACCAGTAATGGTTCCGCCAAAGAAAGGTTTTCCCTTGAAGTTATATATCTCGACATCAGAAGAAACTATTGGGAGCATGCTAGCTCAAGAAGACGAAAATGGTGTCGAAAGAGCAGTTTACTATCTTAGTCGAATGTTGATAGGTGCAGAATCTCGATATAGTCCAATCGAGAAATTATGTTTGTGTCTATATTTTTCTTGTGAGAAATTGAAATATTATATTAGGCCTTTTGATGTACATGTTTATTCACATCACGATATAATAAAATATTTCTTGTCGAAACCTATCCTTCATGGTAGAGTTGGAAAATGGGCGTCGGCTTTAACAGAGTATTCTCTAATTTACAAACCACTAAAATCTGTAAAAGGCCAAGTTGTTGCTGATTTCGTTGTTGATCATTCGATTCCAATCAAAGAAGTAGATTTTATAAGTCTAAAGTCATGGAAATTGTACTTCGATGGATCTAGTCATAGAAATGGAATTGGAATCGGAATACTGATAATTTCACCAGACGAAATCCCAACGAAATTACTCTTCGAGATAAAATCAGCTTGTTCAAACAATGAAGCTGAGTACGAAGCATTATTAGCTGGACTTGAAATACTGTTAAATTTCGGGGCAAGAAATGTAATCATTCGAGGAGACTCTGAGTTAGTAATAAAGCAGTTAACCAAAGAATATAAATGTTTAAGTAGAAACCTCGTCGAATATTGGGTAAAAGTGAATAAGTTATTACAAAAATTTGACAAAGTCATTCTAGAACATATTCCTCGAAACAAAAATCAAGAGGCCAATGAATTAGCCCAAATTGCCTCGAAATATAGAATTTCAGGTGAAAACCTGGCAAAATTAACAGAGATAAGGGAGAAGTTAGGGTCAGCAAACCTTGAGATCTTAAACATAAATGACTTAACTGACCAAGATTGGAGAAAACCTTTAGTCAATTATCTCAAGGACCCCAACATTCCAACTGATCGAAAAACAAAATTTCGAGCAATTAACTATACAATTGTGGTTGACGAATTGTATAAAAGGGGTGTTGATGGCACTTTACTTCGATGTCTTAACGAACATGAGGCTTATATTGCCCTGGCAGAAATCCATGAAGGGATCTGCGGAGCTCATCAAGATGGAGAAAGAATGAAATGGATGTTACTTCGAGAAGGATTGTACTGGCCCTCGATGATTAAAGATTGCTTTGACTACGCAAAATCTTGTGACGAATGTCAAAAGCATGGTAATATTCAACACGTTCCAGCTTCAGAATTACATTCAATAATTAAACCATGGCCTTTTCGAGGCTGGGCTCTGGATTTAATTGGCCAAATTCATCCTCCTTCGACAAAAGGCCATAAATATATCATTGTAGCTGTCGACTATTTTACGAAGTGGGCTGAGGCAGTTCCATTGAAAGAAGTTACTCAGAGTGATGTTGTTAATTTTATCGACGAATATATAATTCATCGATTTGGTATACCAGAAACTTTGACAACGGACCAAGGAACTGTTTTTGTAGGTAAAAAATTAACTCAATATGTTGAGTCCTTGAATGTAAAAATGATAACTTCGAACCCCATATTATGCCCAGGCCAATGGACAAGTGGAGGCAGTAAATAAAATTTTGATCAAGTTAATTAAAAAACACATTGGATCAAAACCAAGAAATTGGCATGACACTTTAAGCCAAGTATTATGGGCATATAGGAATTCTCCAAATGAGGCCACGGGGACAACCCCATTTCGACTTGTTTATGGCCATAAAGTCGTTTTACCTGTTGAAGTGAATCTACAATCAGTTAGATTACAGCGGCAATTCGAGTTACCAAGTTAAGATTATTGGGCCTTAATGTTTGATGAATTGAATGTTCTGGATGAAATTCGCTTAAGTGCCTTAGAGAAAATGATTCGACAGAAAGAAAGAATTACGAGGTCATACAACAGAAAAGTACGAGGCAAGTTTTTTAATGCTGGTGAATTAGTATGGAAAGTAATTTTACCGTTCGACAAAAAATCAAGGAAACTTGGAAAATGGTCACCCAATTGGGAAGACCCCTTCGAGATTGAAAATGTGTTTTCAAATAACGCGTATTCAATTCGAGAACTTAGAACTAATAGTCGAATCATGTCGATTAACGGTAAGTACTTAAAACCATACAAACTAGAAATACATGAAGTAAAAATAACTTAAGTCAAGGCAAAAAGATAATTCGAGTAGTAAAAAAGCCAAATGAATAAATATCATTTAAAGTAGAATTCGAGTATTTACATTAAAATAACTACTAGAATTCAAAGAAAAATACATGAAAAAATAAAAAATGAGGCTTCGAGCGCGTTTCAGTGTAAACGGCTCTCAAATTTTGATATCTGGTTTCAAGAGCCGTACATTGTGCATCCAGAGTCGAAATATCCTCCATAGCTTGAGCTCTCTCGATAGTCAAGGTCTTCACATTTTCTATAAAATTTTTTCTTTTCTTCTCACAAGCCGCACTAGCTTTTTTCAGCATCTCTGACTCCTTTCGAGCTCTTTCGAGTTGTTTCTCTAAATCAACGATTCTAGCATCAACCTCTTTTTGCTTCATATCGGCATTGGTAGCCGATTCCTTTACCTTGACCAACCCAGTTCAAGCTTTTTTCAATTTATTAGAAGCAGAGTCCTGCATAGCTCGAGCTTGATCTTGTTTAGAACCAACCATAGCAGTTTGGTCTATAATTACTAAAGAGTCGATGAAAAGAGACTCAAAACGTTGGAGCCCTTCAGGAAATGTCGAGAGCTGAGCCTTCAACGAAGAAAGTAAGCCTTTGATCTTGGCAACCAAGTTCTTGTCAGTTGGAAGGTTCTTCATCATTGGCGCATCAAAGACCAAGGACCTAAGCTCTTCGAGCATTTTTTCAGTTGATTCAGCAGGCTTGGAGACTTCTGAGTGTGACCCTGAAGGAGTATGAGATGAAGAAGAAAAGGTGAAGGTACCAGCCAAAATTTTGTCGATGGCCCCCTCTGGATCTTCCTCCACCATGGCATTAAAATCATCCAAGTTCATTTCTGAGTTAATGGATGATGATGGTGGCACAACTTCAATGTTGGGAGGACCTTCGACAGAAATTTAGAGGTTTTCAGGAATTTGGTTTCCCTCTTCAGCTACATTCTCCTCAACTTCATGCAAGGACCCCTCCTCTTCTGATTGATATGTAACAACATCAACCTCGGGAGAACCCAGAGGCGATGTTTGTCGAGATATAGGGGGTACCTAGAGAAAAAGAAGTGAAAAAATTCACAAGTATGAAGACCAAATTTCGAGTAAAAGGATACCTTACCTCAGGAGCTGGTTCTGTTTGAGCTCGATCTTCAGAACTCGAGCTAGAAGAACTTGAAGAAGTATCCGAAGAAGAGCTCGAAGATCCAGAACTCGAGGAAGAAGCTGCCTCATTCCCTTGTTGGACAGTAGCTGCAGGTTCTTTTCTCGAGATTTTTTGAGACTCCTCAGGGATTGGAGTCAAACGTTTTTTAGGGTCTTTTCGGACCCTAGGGGGTGAATTGACACTTGGAGTGTCATCAGTCGAGACTTGCCACAGAGAAAAGGATTAAAAAATTGCTCGAAAAGACAGAATAGTACTCGAAAAAAGATAAAATTTACCTCCACTGATGGAGCTGAAGGTTGATCAGGTGTCTGCTGCACAGGAATTGAAGCAGTCATCTCGATAGAAATTTGGGGCTTAGTAGGAATCTTCGTCTTGGGAATGGCCTTAGCCTAGGAAAAGAAAAGAAGTAGGCTTACAATTTAAACCCTGTCGAGAATTAATTAAACCCAAGTCAAAATAGTTACCTTAGATACCCCAGAGGCAGCTTGGGATGTAGACGAAGAACCCTTTTTAAGGGTTGTCAAAGAAGAACCTTTTCGAGTAGATTTTTGTTTTTTCTTAGGAGGCTCATCCTCTTCCCAATCCTCTTGGTCATATCGACCAACAAAAGGTTATGTCGGAAGAGCTGCAAAATTTCTCGAGATGTTAAAATCTAATAATAATAATAAAAAAAAAGGATTTCAAAAAAAAAAAAAAAGCAAGGCAAATCTTACCATCTTTAAACTTTGTAAGGATTCTCACATCTTGAATATCAAGGTGAAGAGGGTAAGGATAAGTTTTAAAAGAAAATTTCAAAGCTGTTATTCTACTTCGAGGAGGGGATAATTCGTTCAAAAGAGTCGAAGGTAGATCGACCCATTTAGGTGAAATTATGGGTAAAGCCAGAGCAAAGTTACAGTTTGGCAAAGGTGGAAAAGTTGGTCGAAATTTTTTAAAAGTAATTTCTTCTATAAACTTCTCAAAAGGATGAAAATCCCTATACCTATTTACTCTTTCTTTTGTTTTTTCTCTCAAGGAAAGAGCAGCTTCAAAAATAGTTTGGGATATTCTTTGTGGTAAGTAAAGTACTTTAAAAAATCGTTCAAATGATTGGATTTCTCGAATATGCGTACCTCTTGTCTTGGCCTTTGGATCCCCCTTCTGAAATAGAGAAAAAGCAGAAGTCATCTTCTGGTTGCACGCTTCGATAGATATCTCAGGGTGATGATAATAAGTAGACCACCAACTTTGAAAAGTGCTGGTACAGTAGAAAATAGGCTCGAACTCAAAAGGAGAAATTTCTGGCCTACGTTTTCGAAAGAAACTAAGAGCCTCATTCAAATCATCAATACTCTTTCGAGCGTTTTCAAGAATATCGAGATTTGACCCCTCCAGCATGAAAGAAGGTTTTAACTGGCCCAACCCAAATTGTCGAGCTACCAGATTTGGTTGATAAGCAACCACTTGATAGGGCCTATGAGTGAAACTACAAAAAAGAAGTTGACATGAAAGAAACTGTCTCCATGTCATTAAAACTTCAGACTGGGCACTTGGGGTTCTCGAAGGAAAAGGACGTTTAAACCATACTGGCCCTACCTTTCGAGCAGAAAAAGGAGCAAGTTGAGGAGTGAAAGATTGAAGAGATAAGAAAAAATTGAAATATTGTTGAAAAGCATTACAATAGTGTTTTTTGGCTATGTTAGTAGTCAAGAAAGTCAGACGAAAACCTTCAATCTCTCGAGAAATATTGGGTGGTTCAGAGCTTTGTAATTTTTCTTCAAAAATAGCATTCAGCCAGAGCTGAAGCAGCCAAAAGGGGCCACTAACAACTGAAGGAAAGTCATTAGACTTAAATGAAGCTACGGCCTCATTTAAATTCTCATACAAATTCCCTAAGATAAGCTTCCCAAGGCACATTGAAGACTCTTCGTGCAGTAATTGGGCCAAAGTAAGCAGTGTCTTTGGTACTTGGAGCGATCTCGAGCAAAAAACATATGCGAAAAGCCAAAACATCAGAAAAGCAACATGCTCCTCATCAGTAACGGGACCATCTCGATTCATATTCAAGGTTATGAAGAGTTGGCAAGAAAGCTTTTGGAAGTTGGGGGTTACATCAGGATTTTTGGGATGAGAATCTGGTCGAAATGAAGGACCAGTTGGCCTAAGCCCAAGAATGGCAGCCACATCGAAAAGAGTTGGGGTAATCATACCACAAGGCACGTGGAAAGAGCTAGTTGCTCGATCCCAGAAGAAAAGAGAACTCATGATCATAGGGAAGTTGTAAGACAGATTGTACCTAGACAATTGAATGATATCATAGATTCCTATGACCCTCCAACTATCTTGTTTTTCACCCTCAACTCTATCTAACCAAGGCAAATATAAGTCTTTGGTTATAGGAGGCATAGTTCTAAATAATTTTTGGGCATTCTCGAGAGAGTCCAAGTTATATTTGGAAGAGAATGCCAAGACTCTATCAGCGGAAAAAGAAGACTCGACAGATGACTGGGGAACAAAAGGACCTAAAAATGCATGAGGTTTCGAGCCTAATGAAAAGGGAATGAGTACCTGGGATTTCCAAATAGCCAGTTTCTCCTCCTCGAGAGGTCAGAGGGAACCTTAGACTTGGAGGCCATTTTGACGAGAAATAGGGAAGATAGGGACGAACCAGAAGAAATTTTGACACAAAAAGAAGCAGAAGAGAGAGAACAAAGCTCTTAAGTAGGAGAGTAAAAACGAAAGCGTAAAAAATGAGAAGGTAACTTCGCTTTTTATACTGGTCCCCAACCTCGTGCAAGGCCCACACAAGAGCCCAAGTCCAGAGTATTTTGGCACTTAGTGGGAAGATGAAGAGATAGTGGGGTGTCTTTTCGATCAAAAATGGCCTTGAATCCCCAACAGAACGGAGCACGTCTCAATAATGGGACATTTTCGGTAATTGTCAGGCAGAACCTGCATTTATGGCGCCGACTTTGGACGACGTGCCTGACATAAAACAGGTAAGTGGCAGAGACGCCATAAGAAATGGCGGAAAAATTAGAAAATAAAAATTTTCCAATTAAATATCAAAATAAAAAATATTAAAATCTCATATACCTGAGATATTAATATTTTGGGGGGCATCTGTTTGGGATAAGGAAAATTTTCTAAGTTAAAAATCATCTTGAAGAAAACAACATTTCAACAAGTTTTGAGAGTCAAGAAGGAGCCAAAGATAAGCCTGAATATAAAAGGAACACATTTCGAGCTATTTTAGAGGTTTTTGTCACCTTGTTGATTTTTCTCTAAAACTGCTCGAAAAACAGGACTGACAAGAAAATATTCTAAGTTCACAAAACTGAAGTCTTTTTTCGAGGAGTTTTGAAGGGTTTCCAAGTCACTGACATTCAAAACTGCTCGAAAAACAGGACTGACAAGAAATATTCTAAGTCCACAAAACTGATGGCTTTTTCGAGGAGTTTTGAGGGGTTTCCAAGTCACTGACATCTAAAACTA